TGGTCTTTCACATTAAATTCCAGTGAAATATATATATATTTATGTTTGTGGTTGTAATGTGACAAAATATGGAAAAGTTCAAGGGGTATGAATACTTTTGCAAACCACTGTAGATCTGGCATTTTTAAGCTCATCTTGCAGACCATTCCACAATCCTATACTCTGGATTAAACTATACCCTGAATTAAACTATACCCTGGATTAAAGTACATCTTTCTCTCAAGCAAGTATGAAAATATGGCTTCACAAACATTTCCATCCCCTTAAGATAATAACAACTGTCTCTCTTAACAAAGTTTGCCTGAATGTTGGAAGGTAACGTTTCTGTGAGCCTTGAACATAATAGAAAAATATTATAGTCAACCAAATCATAGAATTTCAAAAATTTCAGTTTGCAAAATGTATTTTATGGAWGGTTGTAATCTTTTCTAGCGATAATTCTTATGGCTCTTTTCTGCAAAACAAAAATTGGATTTGTAATTGTTTTGCAAGCTTTATTTTAGGCTTTGGTATAGAAGATTTTGAGCTGAATTTTGAGACAGATAACCCACTTTATCCTATAAAATTGAAATATCTTTCCAAAATTGGTCTTTGTTTTGTGTCGACTGTGTACCACTTCTAAACACTGGTGTCCTATCATTCAGGAGACCTGAAGAGCATCATCCATTGTGCTGTGTCACCTTATGTCTGATATGTCCCGTGTCCTCGGGGTAGAAATGGTTGATATGAACAGGGACGGATTTCTCATCCCTGCAGGCTCCCGGAGTCTTGTGAGCGTCTACATGTGTTAGTGATCAGCCAGCTGGGACTTGGTAGCGAGGCAGAGATGACACATGTTTGATCGTAAGGTTCCCGCTTTAAGGCTGCTCCTAAACGACAGACTTCTCCCAGCCCCTGTGCCTTTTACTGGTTTCTTTTGCCTTTTTTTGGGGTCTATTTTTATTCCTTTCTATAGCTGTTTTATACAGCTGTCACGTAGCGGCTATGCTAGTTAGATAGACTAAAGGTCTTGTGTTGCTGTGAGAGCAGACACACGAGGACTGTTGTGTCATGATGCACCTGCCAATTAGGCAGAGTTAAAAAACACACCCAGGGGGACATGACTATACTGTTGATGTTCTCCTCCACTGATGAGGAGCCATGTGTGTGTCCCTGAGGAGAAAAAGGAGAGAGCAGGGGAGAGTAAAAATAAGTGCAGGGTGGTGGTGATGAAGGAGGCAGAGGGGGAGATGCGATGAAAATGGTAAAGACAAACTTAAAGCAGGGAGTTCCCTATACTCAGGTGTAACATGGCCCTTTGCTGTCACT